AGACCAGGTCTTCACCCAGAGTAGGGGTGAAGGACACCCAGGAGGTGGAGGACAGCGAGAAGACCTGAATATCATCAGGGAGAGTGAGTTCCCTGGGGAGCTTCTTGGAGTTGAAGATTCCAGATCTCTAGGGGCCCCAGTCTGCCCCAGGGAGTGACTCTGCAGCAATGGTTGGCTGCTTTTCAAGAACTAAGAAAACTATTAATTGGGTTTGTCCAGGAGTGGGCTTTTCCTGACATTCATGATGAAAAAGCAGGAGTATGAGAGTTTGGGTTGCAGGCCAAGCTGATGGTGAAGTGAGGGATCCTGTGATCCCAGCAGGCTGAGCTGGGATGTGAAGTGGGGAATGGAAGTGAGGGGAGGGCTGGGGACCCGGCACCCTGGGCTGGGCTCGTCATCATGAAGGCTATGGAAAGAAGCTGGGGCGGCCTGAGAGAGGCTCAGAAATTGGTGACTTTGGAAAGCATGGCAGTTACAGGTGATGACCCAGCCCAAGAGGTGGCTGTGGACAAGGAGGGATGGAAGCCTGGGTCAGGGGCGAGGACTTGAGGGGCTGACTGGTTGAGGTGCTGGAGGGGGTGGCCCCCCCTCCAATGTTAGAGTCAACCAGGGTGATGCAGGGATCAAGGAATCGTCTTCAAGGAACGGACCTGACCTGGAGTGGATGGTGGATCCAGCCGTGGATGAGGGTGGGACAGTTCTGCCAGGCAGTGTGGGGACCCCAGGATCCCACCTTTGGGCCCGAGGAACAGGAGATGAGAGAAGAGAAACAGAGTCACTGAGAAGGCTCCAGAGAAGCAGGGTCCTTGGGTGCAATGTGTAGGGGGTGGGGGACCCCTTAGAAAAGGCTCTGAGGCCAGAGAGACACTCACTGGTGTGGAAGGGCTCATGAAACGGGGCTGTGGGGGTCTGGGTCAGGAAGCGGCACAGAGGGGCATTCAGATCAAGGGCAGAGAGGACTGACGGGCAGGAAAGTGGGACTTACTCTGTGGGCGCTGACAAATCCAGACCAGGGCTGTGGGGCTGAGGAGTCTGGATCTCTTCTCTCCTTCTGGGACTGGTTAGGGCTCATATCCTGCTTGTCTGGGGTCCTGGTGACCCATGAGTTGGCTGGCCCAGAGGCCATAGGGATTACCCCAGGCTCTCTGGGCTGCATGGACGACAGAGTGACTCAAGCAAAATCTGCTTTAGAAAAAGCATTCCAGAGAGGTGGTCGGCAGCCTCCCTCTGCCAGGAAATCTGGCAGGAGGCTGCAGCACTTGCCCACAGAAGCCTCGTGCTGGCTCATGGAGGAGGGAGAACCAAGAAGCCAGCTTGTGTCTGGCCTGTAGGCTGGCCAGGTCAAAATCTCCCCAAAGTCATTTTTTCCCTCTCACTAAATGTGCACTTGAACTTTTTGTAAAGGGATAGGTTGCTGTTGTCTCCACACCACACACGTCCTCTCATCAAAGGAAAAAGGACACTCCAAGGCCAGTTATGATTTACACCTACTGCAGTCCTCAGACTAGTGTTTCTAAGCTAGTGCAACCAGATGGGGGAGATACTCCTCCTGTTTTTTGTTCTTATCTTTTGTTGTTAATTAGTTGTATATCAGTGCTGCGGAAGCAGGAGTTCTGGAGTATTTTGACTCAGTTTTCGAGTAAAAAACAACAACTTTAGAATTGGGATTATATATAAGATGTGGAATCTCAATTAAAATTTTTATTTATTTAAGTTGATCTCTGCACTCACCTTCAGCAGAAGAGGCAGCATCGTTCAGGCCTGGGTTATCACGCTGATCACAATGGTCTGTAACGTCCGGTTTTCCATCCATCTCCCTGCCTAGGCTCTGAGTTCCCAAAGGGCAGGGGCTACAACATATTCACTTCAGCATCGCCGCGTCAGCACGGGGCCTGACACAGACTAAACGTTCTGTGAATAAATAAATGATGGGCCCTGGATGGATGAGGGCATGTCAGATGTCGGAGGGATGAACAAATGGATGTGGATGGGGTTTTGATGAATGAGTGGGTGAGTGTTGGACAGCTAGTGTTCCATATTCAGTGGAAAGAGAGATCCCTTTGGGCCAGGCAGGAAGTCTTGCTAGGGAAGGAGAAAATTGTGCTATATTTTGAAAAATGAGGACTTGGGTATAGGAAAAGGGAAATGATAGTGGAACCTCAACTGTTATTTCAGCTGCTTGGGGGCAGAAACTGACCCGGAATAAAGAATTGAGCCAGATCCTAGCAGCCTTCAAAGCCCAACTAAGAAGCTTTGACTGTTAGGTCTTCTGTTAATTAACTCCCATATATTAAGTCTAATAGTTTATGTGATGTCTCCATATCCTCACAACTTCCTAGGGGAATTACTGTCTTCCCCATTTATAATTAAAGAAATAGGCTCAGCGAGGGTAAGTAATTTGTCCTGAGTCACACAGCAGAACTGCACTTTGAACCTGAGTTGACTGCTGCTCACTCCATCAGTGAGGTCCCTGAGAACACAAGGGTTTTGAGCAAGGGCCAGAGTGGGGGTGTGGGTGATGTCAGGTTTAGGTAGTTGTGTCCAGGCAGGGTGTCTCCCCAGCTGCACTATGAGCCTGGGCAACCCTGTCACAACCTCATTTCTAGGATCCCATGCCAGCCAAGTCTAGAGCACCCAGCTGGATCTCAAACCACCAGTGCTCCTCAGAGCCTTGCAGAGTCAGGGTAGAAAGGAGAACAGAATTGGGGCATGAACTTTGGGAGCAGGCCACTGGATTCAAGACCAGAAGGGCCCTTGTTTAGTCTGGCAGCCTTTGTATATGGAAGAGGAGCCCAAGACCCACAGAGAAGGTAGTCTGCCCAAGTAAACCAGGAGTCAGTGTTAGAACCTCAACCAGAAACCACATGTCTAAACTCCCAAGACAGTGGCAACTGGGAAAGGCGACGTGTTGGTGCTAAGATGGGACAGAAGGCAGAGAAAGGCAAAATGTCTGCCTGGCTCTGCCACCAACCTGCTCTGTGACCTTGGGCAAGTCACTTCCTCTCTCTGAGCCTCACTGTTGCTTTCCTCTGAGGTAATGATCTCAGCGGTGCCTTTCTGCCAAGAAGTATCCAATGAGAGGTGAACTTGGAAAGCTCTTTACAACCTGCAGAGCGCTGGGAGGGGAGTCACCAGCAAGAGGCAGGCCGGTGCCAGGTCAATGGATGCCAGGGTTGGGCCTGCAGCTTCCTGGGCCTCTGCCCAAGCTTTACCATCTGTGTGGTACCATCACCTCCACCTCCTCCTGCCTCCTGGCCAGAAAAAGCCTTCTGGGATCTTATTTTACTAGGATCTTCTCTCCCTACCTAGACAGACTCTCTTCTCTCTCCTTCTATGTAGTCAGGACTCTTGGATATAAGTGACAGAAATCAGTACAAGGAGGGAGAACTCGTTTAGTCGTGGCTAGATCCTCAGACCCTCCCCTTGGCATGTTCACTCTTCTTTCCTCACTTTCTGTCCCTTAGCTCTGGCTTCCTCCTCAAGCAGGCTGTCCCCTGCCTACTGGCAAAGACAGTCCCCAGGAGCTCTCAGCTGACACTACACCCATCCAGGTATCTTGGTGGACAGGCAGCATCTCTGTCCTGATGCCCAGCAAATATCCAGGCAACTCTCAGGGGCAGAGCACAGAGAGAGTCCTGCCCTGAGCAGATCACTGTGTGCTGCTTATTTAGTTAGACTTGGGTCCCAAGCCCACCGCAGAAATTAGTGCATGGACTGAGGGTCTGGGAGGAAGTTTCCAAAACAAACAGATAGGTTCTGTCAACAGAAGGAGGGATATGGGATGGTCAATAACCATTGGTATCCTTGGGATCTTTGTTCCTAAGTGTATCAGCTGAAAGGTTGAATCAGGGGCTACTGGAAAGGGACTGTTGATCGAGTCCTATATCAGTTACCTCCTGCTGCATAACAAGTCCCTCCAAAATGTAGTGGTGCAAAAACAACCATTTTAGGGAGTTCCCTGGCGGTCCAGTGGTTAGGACTCAGGGCTTTGACTGCCATGGGCCCAGGTTTAACCCCTGATTCAGGGAACTAAGATCCCACAAGCTGCACGACGTGGCTGAAAACTCAAAAATAGCAATAAAAACAAAAAATAAAATAGCCACTTGATTTAGCTCACGATTCTGTGGGTCAGCTGGAGGTTCTTTGGTCTAGTGACATGTCTTTGGTCTGTTGGTGGGTTGGCTAGCATCTGAGTGATCTAGGATGGCCTCACTCATGTGTGTTAATGCTTGACTCGCTGTCAGCTCAGATGCCTTGGCTCTTTTCCCCGTGCCCTCTTGTCCTCCTGAAGGTCAGCCTGAGCTCTTTCAAAAGATGTTCTCTATGTTACAAGTGTAAAAAGTGGGCAAGCTCTAATGCACCGGCGTTTTTCAAGCTTCTTCACCTGCTTCCTCTTTGCTCAAATCTCATTGAATGAAGCAAGTCATATGACCGAACACAAGCATTCGTGTGGGAAGGCACTGCCAAGGAGCACAAAGTTAGTGTGGAAGCAGGAGGAGAAAGAGGGAAAAGAAAAATCCCTTTCTCTGCAGCCCGTGGGTCCCCTGGGCCAGAACAACCTCCAGAGAGGGGTGCTTAAAAGAGGAGACTCAGTCCTACAGGCTCCCCTGGGCCCTCTAGGGCCATGGCTCATCCCTAGACCAGTGCTGGGGGAGCCAGTCTGAATCCTGACTCCACTGGCTGAGACCCACCCCCCAGGGGAGCTACAGGTGCCAGGTGGGGAGGCTTCTTGGCAGGATGGTAGGTGTTCTGAACCCTGGCTCCCGTCTCCCACTAGCCCACGCCAAAGTGATCGCCAGGGCTCCATCCCCCTCGCATCCTCACCTCCCAGCATCCCCTTGGGTCCTACAGGGCTGGGATGGCCTTGAGGCATGTGTAGAGTCAGGTCATGGTGCCTCATCACCCTGGTAACTGGTGTCCCCTGCTCCACAAGGCTGAGGAGGAGTCCCCGTCTTCCTCCTTTAGGGGGTGATGTGGCCTCAGCCTGCTCTTTCCCACAGGTGGCTGCGCTGGAGCGGCAGATCTTTGACTTCCTGGGCTACCAGTGGGCTCCAATCCTTGCCAACTTCCTGCACATCATGGCAGTTATCCTGGGCATCTTTGGCACCGTGCAGTACCGCTCCCGGTACCTCATCCTGGTATGGCTCACTCGGCCCCTCCCCAAACCAACTCCTTCTTTCTCATCCCCATCCATTTCTACCTCATTCTCCAGCCAGAGCTGTCCCCCAACCCAGGGCACCTAGACCCCTGCCTGAGTCTTGGCTGTAGCCTGGCTGGTGATATCCAAATCCCAGTGCTTCTTTGCTCAGTGGAGACAAGATTAGTACCTTCCTAAAGAATTTTCTACAGAAAAGTCCAACTATTAACCAGATGTATCATTGAGTGAGTGCCTCTCATGTGCCAGAGCTTTCCTGATAGCTCAGTTGGTAAAGAATCCGCCTGCAATGCAGGAGACCCCAGTTTGATTCCTGGGTTGGGAAGATCCCCTGTAGAAGGGATAGGCTACCCACTCCAGTATTCTTGGGCTTACCTTGTGGCTCAGCTGGTCAGGAATCTGCCTGCAATGCAGGAGATCTGGGTTCGATCCCTGGGTTGGGAAGATCTGCTGGAGAAGGGATAGGCTACCCATTCTAGTATTCTGGCCTGGAGAATTCCGTGGACTGTCCATGGGGTTGCAAAGAGTCAGACACAACTGAGCAACTTTCACTTTCATACTTCACTTTCCCGTGTGCCAGACACATGCCAAGAGTTTCACTAGCTTCACTTACCTTTATGACAGCCCTGCGAGGTATATCTTACTGTCTTCATTTTCCAGATGAGGACATGAGGCTCAGAAAGGTGACGAGGCCTCCTTAAGTCACACAGCTAATAAGTGGCAGGGTTAGAGCATCGCTTCCAGAGCGAAGGCTCCTGCTGCATCCCCACACTGCCCCAGTTGGTCCGTGTGAGATGCTTTTGGTCTGGTCTGGTTTCTCAAGTTGCTTCAGGAAGGCTTGGCTCCTGTCCCCTGATGTTCATCAAGCATGTGGTCGAGAGGCTTGTGTGATTTTGAGGCCAGTGCCTCCTGCGCCCAGTCTCAGGAATGCTCTGTATCCCTGGCTCCCTCCGCCTACTTCCTCTTCCAAGCCCTGGTCCTTGAAGATCAAACTCCTATTTTCAGCTAGTCTCATCCTCATCTGCTGCTCTTCCTCAGTGACCCATTCACACACGTCTCTTGAGGGAAGAGGCTCTTTGGTAGGTTTGCTTCATAAATGCCAGACACCTCAAATACCAATGACATGTAATCTCATGCCTCTCCCACCCCTGAGCCCACGCACCCTCATTCTAGGGTGAGTTTCCCCACCTTCCACAGGCTCAGTTCCAGAGGTGAACAGGGCCCTTCCAAAGCGCTCCCTCACCTAAGAGGACTCTTCTCTCCAGTCCTCAGGAATGCCCCAGGCACCTCTGTAAACAGCACTTCTGCCAGGAGGCCGCCATTAGAATCACAGGCATAGGATTTCGGTGGAAATGATCCAGCTCCTTGGGCTTCCCAGCTGGCTCAGTGGTAAAAGAGCATGCCTGCCAATGCAGAATATGTAAGAGATGTGGGTTCGATCCCTGGGTTGGGAAAATCCCCTGGAGGAGGAAATGGCAACCCACTCCAGTATTCTTGAAAAATCCCATGGACAGAGGAGCCTGGGAGGCTACAGACCATGGGGTCACAAAAGAGTCAGACACGACTTAGAGACTAAACGGCAACATCGAGCTCCTCCCTAATTCTTTGCCACGTGTGGGATGCCGTCTTTGCCACGTGAGGGATGCCGTCTTTGCCACGTGAGGGATGCCGCCTTTGCCACGTGAGGGATGCCATCTTTGCCACGTGAGGGATGCCGCCTTTGCCACCTGAGGGATGCCGTCTTTGCCACGTGAGGGATGCCGCCTTTGCCACGTGAGGGATGCCGTCTTTGCCACGTGAGGGATGCCACCTGGTTGGTGTCTGCGGTTCTCTGCAGGCTTCCACGGTGGCTCAGGCGGTAAAGCGTCTGCCTGCAATGCGGGAGACCCGGGTTCGATTCCCTGGGTTGGGAAGATCCTCTGGAGAAGGAAATGGCAACCCACTCCAGTACTCTTACCTGGAAAATCCCATGGATGGAGGAACATGGTAGGCTACAGTCCATGGGGCTGCAAAGAGTCGGACACGACTGAGCGACTTCACTTTCACTTTCCCAGAGTGGCTAGGATTACCTACCAGAGAACTTGGGTTTGCATGCCAGCCCTACCTCTTCCTAGCTGTGTGATCTTGGAAAAAGTAAATCTCTTCTCTGAGCCTTAGCTTAGCTTTAAAGAGAAAGACGGTGCTTTCCCTGCAGGGCTCTCATAAGGGAGCCTGGTTGGAAGATGATTTATAAACTGAGAAGTGCTGTCTGAGTGAGGCGTTGTCATAGTTTCCCCTGCAGAGGTCTCTTTGGTCCACTGACCCGCCCCCTCTCCACTCCCCCAGGCCCCGCCCTGACGACCCCCCCCCCCCTTTGCTTTCCCCAGTATGCAGCCTGGCTGGTGCTCTGGGTTGGCTGGAATGCATTTATCATCTGCTTCTATTTGGAGGTTGGACAGCTGTCCCAGGTAAGCCTCGGGCCTGGCATTGTCAGAGGGCAAAGCCTGGCATCCCCTGCCCCGAGGGCTCCTGTGGTGTGGGTCTGGAGTGTCATCTCTTAAAGAGAACGCTCTCTACACATTGGAGTAATCTGTGCTCCCCCTCCACCCCTACATTTTCATTTTTGGCCTCCTCTGTACTTCTCAAAAACAAATGATGAAGCTGAAGGGCAGTCTGATGAAGATGGGTTGGGGTTCCAGTTGATCACAGTCTCAGAAGAAACCATCAATATGTCATGACCCAGAAAACTTCTCTTAGGCTCCACACATGTTCAGTGCAAAAGAGGTGAAAATACAACATGCTTTGTATGGCCTAGACTGCAAAGATTTGAGTCCAATTCTGATAGATATTTTTCAGATGAGAAAGAGACGGTAGAGTCTATTCTGGAAAAACTGAACCGACCATGTCACATGGAGAACTGTTGAAGAAAGAGGGAGTATTTAAGTTCGAGAACAAACCCAGAGGGCACAGCTCCTAGTTTTAAAAAGAAAGGAGGCAAAATATATGAATGAGAGCACTTGGCTTCCTACTTCTGCTAGATTTAAACCCCAGCTTAAACATTTCCTAGCTGTGTGACCCTGGGCAGGTGGCTTACTCTCTCTGAGCATCAGTTTCCTCATCTAGTAAGTGCAGTTAATAGAAATTCCAGTTTCATGTAGTTGCGGAGGGAGATCGCACATCTCAGTGCTTGGCGCCCAGTCAGTATGCAGTGAATATTTGTTAGTGGACCATATGAGTGAATGAATAGAGGAACACATAGATGCACATGCGGGTAAGAACTGATCTAGGCCATTTCAAAAGGAAGGAAATGGCCTTCTCCATTTCAAAAGAGGAAACCAGGGACTAAAGAGAGGAGAGGTTTGCCCGGGGTCACACACAGGGGGCAGTGGAGAGGTTGAGTGAGCTGTGAAGAAGGTCTGTGTTGGGGATTTCACTAACAGCTGGAAAAGGGAAACCAATCACCACTAATATCCTTTCCAGCCCTGAAATTCTGAGCCTCCTGCGGGGCTGTAGCAGCCCGGCATGATCATCTAGTGCCACCTACTGGCCAACTCTAGACTTGCAGATACAGACCATAACCTCACAAATCACGCCAGGAAGGGAAGCTGTTATAACCCAGGTGTGAAGCAAACCTGGCGCCTGGAAGGATCTCCACCCTCCCCCCAGCTCAGTATCCTAGGCCCCTCTGCACCTAGGACCGGGACTTCATCATGACCTTCAACACATCCCTGCACCGCTCCTGGTGGATGGAGAATGGGCCAGGCTGCCTGGTGACACCTGTCCTGAACTCCCGCCTTGCCCTGGAGGACCACCATGTCATCTCAGTCACCGGCTGCCTGCTCGACTATCCCTACATTGAAGCACTTAGCAGTGCCCTGCAGATCTTCTTGGCTGTGAGTTTCTGTCCCCCTGCCCATCCCAACCCTGCCCTTGGCACTTCACACACACAAAGTTACATAACCCTCTTTCCTCTTAACAAGCCAGTAAGATATCTCCCAGGTCCAACTGGAGAAGCAAAGAGGTAAAATAATTACTTGTTCAAAGTCACACCCAGAACAGAGAACAGAACTAAGGGTATTAAGTTTAAGGCACAGTCATTAAACTTGAAGTTGTTAACGGGTTTGCCTTCCTCTCAGCACATTTGGCCCCTCCAGCCAGGGTGGGCAGGGCCGGGCAGGGGTTGAAGAAAGAGCTTCCCACTCCTCCTTCCCTTTCTGATGCTGTGTCCTCCCGCAGCTGTTCGGCTTCGTGTTCGCCTGCTACGTGAGCAAAGTATTCCTGGAAGAGGAGGACAGCTGTGAGTGCGGAGCCCCTAGGGAAGTGGGGACCCCACACCGACAGCACCCTGGACAGGGGCCCAAGCGGGAGGGAGCCCTGGGTCAGTTAAGGGGCCCTTCTTGGGGCTGGGGAAGAAGAGACAGTAGGCTGGGTGGGGATCTGCATAGCCGGCCCATTCCGGATGAGCACCAGACGTCCCGGTGCCCAAGCCAAGGCCCTGCCCCACTACCCGCCCCTTAGGCCCCGTCCTGTCCCCTCGGAGGGGTCCACAGCCCCACTCCTGTCAAGCACCACCCATTCCCAGTTCGTCCTACTCCCACCCTTCGGAAGGTCTTGCCTCCCTGCTCGAGTTCCCCCACCCCCAACCCTCAGCCTCCTCCTTAAACGACAGCCCTCCGCATCTACGCTCCAGCTCTCTATCTCAGGCCTTGGCCGGTCCCTCGAGATGCTACAGCAAAGCTCAACCCTTCAGGCCCTGTACTGGATCTGGTCTCAGATTCCTCCCTTTCAGGACCCTGCCTCCCATCACCTCGCCTCTCCACAGGCCCATCTCTAACCACGTGCCATCTCCCCTTCCGCAGTCGATTTCATCGGCGGTTTTGACTCCTACGGATACCAGGCGCCCCAGAAGACGTCGCATTTGCAACTGCAGCCTCTGTACACGTGGGTCATGGCGCGGAGCCGTGTGGGGTGGAGGGACCCCGGCATTAGCGTAGGAGAAAGAAGGGGAGTGGGGAGCAGGCGGATCTCTCCGCCTCCCTATTCAGAGGTCCGCTTCCCCAATCGATTTTTGTTTTCTTGCAGGTCTGGGTAGCGTTTGCCCCACGCCCACCCCCGCGGCTAGACTGACCGCCGCTGCCGCGAGCTCTGGCCAAGATGGCACGCGCGCCCCCTGGCGGCTCCCTGACTGACTGCAGCCTGAGCCGGCGGGATCTGGGTCTGAAGCCGACTTGGACTTGGCCCTTAGCAGCCTGGACTTGAGGGGTGGGGCGGGGAGAATCGCGGGGTTTGTATTTTTTTTAACCTCGGCCTTGACGTGTGCGGGCGACCCCACACCCCACCCCCGCCCTTCTCCAGACTCCCCTTTCTCCCTTCTTCCCCCAGCATCCTGTCCCCTGTCCAGAGGGAGAGGGCAGGAGAAACACACACACCATCTCACCACATTTATTCACCAGCCCTGGGGAAAGTTCCCCCGAACTATGAAGAGGAGGAGTCCTGGGTTCTAATCGCAGCTCCACCACTAACTCTGTGTGACATCTGGCAAAGCCCTTGTCTTCTCTGGGCCTTAGCTTCTCACCTCAAATAATTAAAATAATCCCTTAGTAAATGGAGCTCTTTCTAGCCTTTTCATTTGACTCTCAATTCCCTGGACTGTACTGGGATTTTACTATAATCCCCATTTTGCAGATATGGAAACTGAGTCCCAGAGATGTAAAGCGATTTACTTGAGGTCACACAGCTGTGTTTTTGGTGGAGGCAGGACTTGAACACAGTATATCATCTGTAGTTTCAGACTCCAAAATCCAGTGTCCAGTCTCTGAATTCCATTTCCAAGCTCCCTTCCAACTTGGACACTCTAGAAACCATATGACATACACCATGCTCACATACCACCGCCACCACTTGCCAACGCCTCTCTTAAAGCAATATACCCGTTCTCTTGTTGGGAATGGGATGGACGGATCCCATAGCCCTGCATTCAGCCTGACCTACAGGGAAGCCTTCTTAGACTCAGCCTCTGCCCACCCTTGGCAAAGCTTTCGAGCTTTCTCTACCAAAGGCGGGACATGACCCCATTGCCCCACTCCCTCACAGGTACCTGAGCCTGCTGCACCCATGACCCCTCACCCCCTCAGCAACTCTGCCAACCTCTAAGGACGCCATCCACTTCATCTGATGAAAGATCAGTGGTTCCAGCATAGAAAAGGGCTCATCTGTGCTTCCTGGTCACCAGTGTTGAAAGATCACCAGCATTCATGATCGCGCCGGTGTCCAGAAGCACCCTCTAACAAGCCCAGAAGTTGTTCCGGAGAGGCAGAATGGAGGGGGGTGCCATCCGGGAGGGGGGTCTGGAGGGCCAGCACTCTTCCTTAAGAGCAGGTCGACATAAGGGCTCAGTCTCCTCACCTCCCTCCTCAGACACCTCTGAGGACCCTGCATCCCGTGTGCTGGCTGGTGAATCTGAGGGCAGGAGGATCGGGCCTCAGCTTCCAGTTTGTGAAACAGGAGGAGCCCTGGCTTGGGAAGGAGGGTGGGAGGCCTGGGGGAACCAGATGGAAGTACAGACGGTTGTACACCTGAGCCCCTCCATGGAGACCATTCCTCGCTGTCCACGCTCTGATCCGCCATCCCCTCCTGTCTCAGGCCGAAATATCCTGAACTCGGACCCCACCCCAGTATCTCATGTGCAGGTCTCTGCTGAAGGGCCAACCCTGGGCATTTCTCTGGTCACTGCAGAACCTGAGGTCAGCCGGATCAGCTAACGGTGCAGCTCAAGAGGGTGACGGTTCCCTCCGGCCTGGCTGCTGCTCTGCCTCTGGGCCAACTTCTGCCTCCAGCCCTCTCTTCTCCCACCCCCAGCCAGCTGTCATCTCCCCCTGAACCCCTTTTCTACTCAGCGGGTTTAGCCACTGGTGCTTTGAAGCCTTTTGTTTTTATAAGATGGTTTTTTTTCTCAAGGAGACCAGCTTTTCGTCTCACTGGGACCTTGCAAGGCGGTGAGTGTTGCCCTGGTTTTTGTGCAGGTGGGCTGATTAAAGACGGTGTTTTCTTCTCTCTTCCTGTCCTCCTGCCCATGAGTCCGCAGGGTCTTCTAAGGGAAAAGTCTTTGTATGAAGGGTGGGCAAAGGTTGGGAACCTATGTCATTGTCATGATCAAACATTCCTGGGACACTGGCCTGTGCCTCTGGCTGGCTGTGCGGCTTTGGGCAAATGATCCTCCCTGTCTTTCCTGATCCATAAAATGCACAGAGGGAATTAGATCAGTGGTTTCCAAACCTGGCTTCACAATCCCTTAGAGAGCTTTCTATTTTTCTGATTAAGTGCATTTTAAGATTATGCTTTCAAATATCATTGGCATCTTGGCTCTGCCCTCTTCTGATGATTCAGTTCCTGACTTGGAATAAACTGGCAGACAGTGCTTTAGACACAGATTCCTGTCTCCCAACTGGGACATCCTGGCTCTTTTTCTGACCATACCACAAGAATCAGTCTTTTGAATTTTAAACATTTATTTTTGTGTGTAAATAAGTAATACATATATATGGTGCAGAATTCAGAAAGTTTCAGGGTGCTTTGTACTCTTCACCTATTTTCCATATCTTTCCAAAGATAGTCAATTTTTTAAAAAAATTATATAAAATTTTCCCCCTCACACAAGGTAAAATATGTTACTTACTCTTCAGCTCTACTTTTTTCAACCTAACTCTTGGAAATCTCCCAATAACACACGTGGAGCTGTCTTCCATTCTTCCACAGTGATTTGGTAGAACTGAGATTTTTAAGATCTCCAGGTGACCTTGCAGTTAGGGCCAAGAACCAGAGGTTCCACATAAGCATGCCAGGTCCACTATGCCAACCTCTGTGGACCACTCCTGGTTGTGGAATCAGAGGGAAACAAATCAAGGAGTTTATGGTCTAGTGGGGAGCCCATGGAGTGATCAGGCAGAAGGGTGGATGCTGGTAGCAGGTGGTCAATGCTAAGGACAGTTTAGCATGAAAGGCAGTTGTTAATAGGTGCTAACAGCGTGAGCAAAGGTAGGGAAGGAGGAAAGCGCATGGTGTCTGGGGTAAGAATGGCCAGAGACAAGCTAGCTGGAGGAAGGTTCAGTGGGGAATGTATTAGATTTCTATTGCCATCATAAATTATCACAACTGTAGTCTCTTAAAGATATACACATTTGTTATCTTAAAGTTCAGTAGAAGTCCATCATGGGTCTCACTGGGGTAAAATTAAATGTCTAGAGGATTGCATTTCTGGAGGCTCTAGGGGAGAATCTTTGTCCTTGACTTTTCTACCTTTAGAGGCTCCCTGCATTTTTTGACTCTTGGCCTCTCTCTTCAAAGCCAGTGACATCACAGCTCTGATCCTTTTTCCACCATCACATCTCTCTAAGCACAGCCAGGAAAAGTTCTCCACTTAGAAGGATCTGTGTCCAGGATAGTTTCCTCCTCTCAAAGTCTTTAATCCCATCTATAAAGTCCCTTTTGCCATCTATCACATTCACAGTTTCCAGGAATTAGAATGGTGACATCTTTCCCGGGGCGGGAGGTCATTATTCTACCTTCCACAGGGAAGGAGTCCTATCTTGCAGCCCTGAATGTCAAACCAGAGTGCATCAGAATGTCAAACCTGGAGTATGTGTGGGGGGTGGGGGGTAGCTATTGAAGGACTTTCAGCAGAAGCTACTCAGAATTGTCCTTAGTGAGCACTGGCAGGGCTGGAACAGTGGGTTGGAGGAGGGAAGCAGGAAACAGTGTTTGTCTGGAAGAGGTTTAGGGTTTCTCTCTTCTCTGTGTAAATGTGTGTTCTTGGAGGTATGTGTGTGACCAGGAGCTCTATGTGCGTAAACGTGGGATGACCCCTGCAGTAGAGTCACGATCAGCATGAGCTGCAGGACACAGGCATCCCTTGGCCTCTGTTCATCACTCTAGAAACTAGTTAAGCTGGTCTTCCCACAAAGCCCAGCACCAGGACTTCCCTGGTGGTCCAGTGGTTAAGAATCCACCTGCCAATGCAGGAGACACAGGTTCGATCCCTGGTCAGGGAAGATGCCACATGCTGCAGGGCAACTAAGCCCATATGCCACAATTACTGAAGCCCATGCACCCTAGAGCCCGTGCTCTGCAACAAAAGCCAGGGTAATGAGACGCCCACGCGCAGCAACGCAGACCAAGTGCAGCCAAAAAAAGCCCACACAACTCCTGCTCCCCTGGGGCCATTTCCCGGCAACCTCTGCACATTCAAATAATCCAGCTAGGATGGATCTTCCAATGACTATTGAGTCATAAAGGTGCCCAAGCCATTCTTTGAAGCACTAGAATACAAATTCCCCAAGGTGCATTTGACAAGCACAAGAGTCTCCTGGGATTTGTAGACAGACTAGTGTTTGCTTGAGTAAGTTAGGATTGGGTTTTCCTGTTTCTAAACAGATTGGGAATGAGGGAGTGCCTGACACCAGACCTCATTGCCTTATAAGGTTCATTACTCCACAGGCTACTGGCGCTGGACAGGCCAAGCTTCTCAAGTTTACGGAGCATAAGAATGCCTTAAAAATCCAAATTCCTAAGCCTGATCTGAGCCACACTGAACCCAACATCTGGGCAGCAGCAGGAACCTATGTTTTTCCCAAGTGCCCTGAGTGATCCAGGTTTGGGAAATTCTAGAACCAGGTAAAGAGGCCTCCAAACATTTTTGAAACTTCCCCTCCTCCAGAGTCTTGGAAGGCCTACCCAAATTATGCCTGCCAGCCCCCTCAGAACTTGACTGTAAGACTAAAGTTTCAATTTCATTTGTTAATACTTGTTACAGTCTTAAATTTTTTAAAAAATGGGTTAATCATGTCAAAAGGTAGGATCAACTCTTGAACTTTAACACTGACAACTTCACCACTAGGTTAGTTTGAGCAAAGACAGGTCCGAGTTTGCCCGCTGCCACCTGAGGTGGAGACCACACTGTGCCCCGAGCCTCAGACTCAGTGATTCCCCGGAAACCAGACTGACAAGGACCAGGCTGACGAGCTGCAGAGAGAGCCCTGTGCTGGCCTTCCAATACTGAAGTTTGAGTTTCCCCTCTGCCCCCCCTCACCCTGGGATCTGGGGCCCCTCCTCCCCACCTCTGGCCTTGGTGACTTCGTCATGACATGAGAGGGCTGGACTTGGCAGAATATTCCTGGGTTTCTTTACTGCTGATGTTCTGGGATGGGGCTTCTCCACCCTACCTGCACTTGGGGTGTGTTTTTAAAATACAGATTTCTGGGCTCCACTCATGCACCAGATTCCAATTCACTTGGATCCAAGCAACTGAATTTATCCTTCAACTATTGATTAAGAATTTACTGTGTACCAGGCACTGGGGATATGAAGTGAACAAGGCAGGACATAATCACTGCTCTCCTGGGGGATATCTATGGGAGGATACACACAGAGGCAGACCAGTAAATATATGTCTTGTCAGACATATATTTGCAAAAGAGGGCAGGGCAGGGAAGGCAGGATAGGGATCGATTCTGGTTTTAAATTGGACATCAGGTCAGTCAGAAAGGTTCTCTTCCCTTGGCCATGCACTGCGTGGCATGTGGGAATCTTGGTTCCCCAACTGACCAGGGATCAAACCCACACTCCTTGCATTGGGAGTGCAGAGTCTTACCCACTGGACGGTCAGGGAAGTCCCTGAGAAATAGTTTTGATAAAATACCTGAAGAAGTTATAGGACAAAGGGAACAGCAAGTGCAAATGCCCTGAGGTAGAAGCCTGAATACTAGAAGGAAGCAAGGAGGCTAGTGTGGTCCAAAGCAAGAAAAGGGGAGAGTGGTAGGAGACAAAGTCAGATAAGGGTGAGAATGTCTGACGCTATATTGGTTTGAACAACACCATAAAGGCTTTAGTTTTTGATCTGAGATGGGAAACCACAGAACTAGGAAGAATCCCTTGGGATACTGTGTGAAGAATACACTGTAAGAGGTCAAGGACTGGAACACAGAGGCCAGGTCAGATGCTATCAAGACAATCCAGGTGAGGAATGGTGGTGCTCAGTTAGGGTGGCTAGAACAGAGGCCTCGGGTATTTCTTTCCAGCCCTGAAATGGTAGGAATCGCCAGTCTAATTGAAGCAAGGAGTTAATAGACAGGCACTACCTTGTGTCTTAAGCCAACAAGCGTTTATTGATTATCAATCCAGTACCATTTACTGGAAGCTCTGATTCGAGGCAGCATGATCAGCACCTATTAGGACAGACAGTGGCTGCAGGGGTTATGAGGAGGGGCAACCTCTCCCGGGGGGGACTCAAGGAGGGCCGCCTGGAGTGACCCAGAGGGAAGCGCATGGATTTCTCTAGCTCAGAGTTTCTCCAGCTCCACATTATTTCAACTTAGTAGTAGTAGTGTTAGTCACTCAGTCATGTCCAACTCTTTGCGACCCCACGGACTGTAGCCCTCCAGGCTTCTCTGTCCATGGGATTCTCCAGGCAAGAATACTGGAGTGGGTTGTCATGCCCTCCTCCAGAGGATCTTCTCAACCCAGGGATCAAACCCGGGTCTCCTGCATTGCAGGCAGATTCTTTACCATCTGAACTTGGGGCCAGGTAGTGCCTTGCTATGGGAAGCTATCCTGTACACTGTAAGATGTTTAGCAGCAACCTTGGGCTCCACCCACCAGATGTAGCCCCACCCTCAGTAGTGACAATTGCCAAATATCTCTGAGGGGCAACATTGCCCTCAGTGGGGAACTGCCTCTAGACAGAAGAAATAAAGTGAGTTAAGTCATC